CAGCAGGAAGTGTAGCTAGGGATTTTATAATGATCTTCAAAAGGTGCTCTAGGAATGCCTTTCTTTCACCAAAGTAGCATTCAGGTCTGTTGTTTGACTCTTGGATGCTTAACTCTTAAACTGATTTACCACAACTTAGAACAGTCATTTTTGTCAAGTCATCTTGTGTGGCTTTGCAGAGAGCACGTGGGCCAATGTCTGATTACTTGAATTCTGCATAGTTGGGCTTGTCTGACAAGTGGCCTTCCGACTGGGGAATTACACATCGATGTTATATTTTGACTGAGTCCTTAATCAGTTACTGTATGTTTTTATGTTTTATGTTGCTGTACTTATGCTTTTCGTTTTTATACACTTGTTTCAAAGAAGAGAGTTTTTTTTTTTAAAGGAGCAAAGCACTCCTTGAGAAGCTATAGTGATGAAAAGATTTATTTTAAATATGTGTTATTTCACAGCTCAAAGTTATGAAGTTTCAAGATGAATTGGAATCTGGAAAAAGACCTAAAAAACCAGGCCAGAGCTTTCAGGAACAAGTAGAACACTACAGAGATAAACTTCTTCAACGAGTAAGGAATAAGTATACACAGTAATATGCATTTTCCAGAGTTATTTGTTTGACTGCCTACAATATTGATATATTGGCGTATTTAAGGAAAAGAATATTTCAAATTATATCCTTTGTCTACATGCTGAATATTGGTAGCTAATTCGGAACGTTTGAAACTTGACGTTTTACAGTTATTTCAGCGTGGAAAGCAGTCTTAGGGCAACAGCACACTGTTTTGTTCCTGATACTACCTGTGGAGCATGAAATCCTGCTAAGAACATGCTTCCAGAACTGGAAGATACTATAGAAAGAGTCACATTTGTGACAGGGAGACACCAAGAGCCCTGAGAAGTAGCACAGAGTCAGAGATGGTGTTAGGGTTTGGGGATTTCATTTAGGACTCCTTTTCCATTGTGTCCAAGGAGGGACAGCAAGTGGTAAAATGTCTCATCTGTGAATTCTCAGCTTTTGAGGGACCTCGTATTCTTATACATAAAAAAGTGTGTAGGGATATACAGAGAATTTTAGAACAAGGAGGCCTACATGATAATTGTTGAAAGAACCTAGGAATTTTATTGGGACTGCTGTTAATTTTTACCTATATCTTGACTGTCATTACAAATAAAAGATTATAGAGAGAAATAGAAAGAACTAGAAGGGAGCTTAAAATCATACAAACCTATTAATGGTGACGGGAGCACAACAGTGTGGTAAAGCAGCTTGTTGCTGTACAGCGCTTTGGACTCCTGGTGCCACTGTCTGCTGTGCACTCCCAGGCACGTCACTGAAACCTGCTTTTACTCTGTAATACTGGGTTGATAAGTCCCAATTTTGCAGGATTGTGAATTAGATAATAGCTACATTAACTCTTTATTATTGAATTAAAATGTTTAAAATATCTTGAGTGTTTTAACTGTAGTCTGATTCCTATGAAAGTATCAATCAGGAAAATGTATCCTACAGATCACCAGAGGAAGTCAGTCTCCTCAGCATCACTTTTTAAATTTTTGCTCAGTATGTTGTATCTGGAAAAAAGATAAATGAGTTTTTTTTTTTTTTAAAAAAGATGTTATGTATCTGAACCCCATGAGTCCCTTTGGAGATGGTGGTAGATGTTTGATCTGCATGGAAGACTACACCTTGAGATGCCCACTGGGTCTAATGTAGTAATACATGTATTACCATTTTAGTCTCCTTGCATTCCATCGTTGTAATTGGAGGGAAGAATGTACTTTTTTAAAAAATTTATTTTTTATTTTTTATTTTTTTGCGGTACGCGGGCCTCTCACTGCTGTGGCCTCTCCCGTTGCGGAGCACAGGCTCCGGATGTGCAGGCTCAGCGGCCATGGCTCACGGGCCCAGCCGCTCCGCGGCATGTGGGATCTTCCTGGACCGGGGCACAGACCCGTGTCCCCTGCATCGGCAGGCGGACTCTCAACCACTGCACCATCAGGGAAGCCCAAGAATGTACTTTTTGAAGGTACATACTAGGGGTCAGCAGACTATGGCCATCACCTCATTTTTGTAAATAAACTTATTAAAACACAGCCATACCCCTTCACTTATTATCTGTGTATTATCTACCGTGGCGACTAAAGCGGTCGAGTAGACCGGTTGTGGCCCACAAAGAAAATACCACCTGGCCCTTATGGAAAACATGTGCCAGCATCTGATGTAGGCTTTTTATCAGATATCAGTTAGCTTTCTTGATGCATACAAATCATAGAGAAACTTAATTCCTGTTAGTGGAAAGCTAAGTTGGCTTTGTGGGTTCATTGTCTATAGCCACTCCTTTAATTATCAATAGAAATCATAATTTCAAGTGAGAAGTGGCAGTTGTAGCAGTTGGGGATAAGCAAATAAGTTATTTTTTGGTTTATATAATTATATAGTTATGTAGTCAGGTTGTACTTTTATAAATTAGGATTTAACATTTCCAATGATTGGTACTTGTTTCTCACTAATAGTATTTTCTGATGGACGAGTATTGTGAATAGCTCTTTCTCCTTTTCAACATACTACTTTGTAAGGGCTTTCCTTTGATTAAATCAACTTGCTGTACCATTAGAATCACTATTGACAATTTTATTGCAGTCTGAGTTGGAAAGGTCATTGTTCTGTTAGCTTTTTCCAATTGTTTTTTCAAGTGGAGGGACAACACTCTAGGTAGTAGCTAAGAGAGCCTTGGCTCTGGAGCTTTGGCTCAAATCCTGACTTCACCATCCTGTATGACCACAGGCATGGTACTTAGCCTTTCTGAGTCTCATTTTTCATCTCTAGAATGAGGATAATGCTATTCCTAAGCATGTTTTGAGGAATTACATGAAATGGTATATGGAAAATTGTTTATTAATTGCTTGGCCTGTGGTAGGCACTCAGAAAATGTTGAGCTGCTGTCACTGGCATCACTATTATTATTCAGTATAAGTAGAAGAGTAGAAGAAATGACTGGTTTTCTGGAAGAGTAGGTATTTAAAAAAAAAAGTTATACCTTCAGTAGTAATTTAAAAAATAGTTAACTAGAAGAGGCAATATTGTTTCATAAATGAGATTAACCAGGTTGGTGTTTTTAATGGCTAAATACTTTCTCTTTAAAAAAAAAAAAAAAACAGGAGAAAGAGAAAGAATTAGAAAGAGAACGAGAAAGAGATAAGAAGGATAAAGAAAAATTGGAATCTCGATCCAAAGACAAGAAGGAGAAAGATGAGTGTACTCCAACAAGAAAAGAAAGGTATAACATTTCTCATTTAATGCCTATAGTGGTTTCAGGATTTGGAATCATGTTTCATTTTGTAATATTTTCATCACTGGTGTCAACAAACCGGAAAAGTATTTTTGTGTGTGGGGTAAACATGTTTGGCCTCTGCCTGCAGGAGGCAGAATTAGCTGAGAAATGGGGCAGTCAGTTGGCACTTGGCTTAGTTATCTGGGACATCATCCCTTTACATGGTTCGTATGGTACCTTAGCCTTAGTTCAGTGCAAGAATCCAGTTACCATATTAGGTATCAAACCTAAGGCTTAAATAACTAAACAACTTGATAGATCTTACCTGTTGCCTCCAATATAAGCTTTTCTTCTGTGCTGAGGCTGGTATCTGTAAACTTGAGTCTCCTGGTCCTGTTTGTAAAGGGAGTTTGTGTATATAGGCCATAGGGACTTGGTCCTCACTTTAAGGTTTTATTCTAATCAAAATCATTTCTCTTTTAGTTTTTATTTCTTACTTGCACAGTTCCTAAATCTCTGATTAGTAGAGAAAATTACTTCAGTTAACAGAATTGAGGTTTTCCTAATAAAAACCAAACAAATGCCAAGAAAAAAAATTTGGCTCAGTCACTCTACATATAGTTACAAATAACAGTTATACTAATTGGTTAAGTAGTAAATCTACCACTTTTTTTGTTTTTTATTATTATCTTGATATAATTTCAGATTTATAGAAAAGTTGCAAGAATAGTATAAAGAATTCCCAGATATCCTTCACCCATATTCCCCCCTCGTCCCCAATCATTTAAGAGTAGTGTGCCTACATGATGCCCCGTTTTCATACTTAACTACAATAAAAGTTTCAAGATCAAACAACAACAACAAAAAGTTTCAAGAGCAGGAAATTAACATTTTAAAAAACACGATTGTCTAATCAGAGACCTTTATGAAATTTGGTCCATTGTTCCAATAATCTTTCTTAGAGCAGGAGAAAAATCTAATTTAGTTCAATTCAGTTTTTGTCTAGATCAACCTATCTTTAAGACTTATTTGTTCTTAGTATAAAAGGCTTTCTTTGAATGTTGTTGGAAAATAACATTAATAAGGTTAGTGAAAATAAAGATAGTGTGAGCCAGTAGGAATTAAAAGCTAATTTAGTAGAAAGAAAATGAATACCTGATCCTTTGCTCACTTATGGAATGTTTTGGGGGCTTTGTTCCATAGGAAAAGGCGACACAGTACGTCCCCTAGCCCATCTCGCAGTAGCAGTGGTAGACGAGTGAAATCCCCATCACCAAAATCGGAGCGATCAGAGCGTTCAGAAAGATCTCATAAAGAGAGCTCACGGTCCAGGTCATCTCACAAAGATTCTCCTAGAGATGTTAGCAAAAAGGCCAAAAGGTAAACGCAAGTCATTTTTTTGTAACATTTGAAATGCCAGTTTCCTTGTCATTCCACCAGCTTTTGAAAATAATTTGGTTGGCAGCCATTTTTTAAAGGATTTTAGAAAACCAAACAGATATACTTTCGTTTTAGAATCTTCCTTCCCATCTCACCACCCCAGCCTTGTCATGACTAAAGCACAAGAAAGCTTCCAACAAGACCAGCCAAGAATTTTAAACATCAGTTTCCTGTGGAGTAGGGATAGCTGCTTTCCTTTCCTTTCTGTTCTTTAGCTTCTATAGAATATCTTTGATTTTTGTCAAGGCTGAAAGAAAAATACATTCTCCCTCCCCACCCAACAGTAATCTTATTAGCAAGTTCTTGGGTAGAGACTTATGGACATAGATACCATTTCTTCAGTGTTTAATTTAGTGTGTTATATACCTTTCTCCTCCTCGTTCCAGAAAAGTGGTTCAGAAATGTTTTATTTATCTAGTGTTTTATAGAAGAATTTTTCTGAGAGCTAAAACTGCTTTTTATCCTAAAACGTTTTTATTTGAACCGTTTTTAGTAGAATCTTTATACAACAGATAAGTCTCTTTTTCTAAGTGGTGCTTGTGCATATATTTATACACGTGTTCATGAAAATTATATATATGTGTATATGATTATTTGTTTTGGTAATTTTCATGAATAGCACTTACAGAGTTATGCTGTCTTAAATGATTCCCTCAAATGATATTGCAGTAGTTGGTTCTTTTCCCTTCAAGAAGATAGGCTGCAAAGCTGCTGCATTTAAAAGTTTGTGAATGATCTTGGATGCCATTTTGAACTTTGGCTTATAATAATCTGGGAAGCTTGTTAAAATGCAAATTCCCAGTCCCTACCTCTTGAGATTTTGATTCAGTAGAGCAGTGGTAAGGCTCAGGAGTCTGCCTTTCTAAGCATGCATACCACCAATGATCACTGATGCAGCGCCTAGGAAGTACAAAATCTGTGTGTGTGTGTGCACACGGTAGGCAAAGCATAAACTTGGAAAGTTTACAGCCTTTTTTGTTTCAGTGACTTTCATTGTGCTCTCTTAAAGATCACTTTAGATAATTTAAGGATAGTCAGTTTTGATCACATGAGTACTTTGGTTAAATTGTTTTTGTTTGTTTCCTCAGATCTCCATCTGGTTCAAGGACACCTAAAAGGTCTAGGCGATCACGGTCTAGATCCCCTAAAAAATCAGGGAAGAAATCCAGATCCCAGTCCCGATCTCCACACAGGTCTCATAAAAAGTCAAAGAAAAACAAACACTGACATAAATTTTTAAGATGCTGTCACTTATTGGAAATGCGATTTTGTTTTGTGCCTGAACGGTCTGTTTTTTTAAAAAAAACAAAAAAACAAAAAATCTAATGAAAGAGCATTCCTGGGGTTTTTCTTTGTTTGTGAATGCATGTGTAAACTCATAGGTAACTGCATCTGTAGACCTGTCGTTGTTTTATATTGTATAAATTACTTTCATTGTGGCTGTTTCTCAAGATGAGGTTTTTATTGTGTTAATGAATTTCATCAAAAATGTGTATAATGGATCTGCTGGCAGTAGTAATATTTTGTTTTAGGATGTTGTGACTTAGCAAAAAATAATACAGATGTCTTCCCCCCTTTTGTAGCTTTGACAATTTGAATTAGATTTCAAATAAAATCTGAACAGAAAACTATAACGTTGTTTTTTTGCCCTATCGATGACATCAAGTCCCTCAAAGTCCTACTTAAGTGAGTTTAGCACTTCTGCTGTGTTTCTTATACCTAATGCACTTTACAAGCTCCATTGTTCAGGTAGCTAAAGTTTTATATTTACTAAGATGACTGTCAAAATTTAGGGACCTGAGACTCATATTTGGTAGGTTTGCCAACCAGTTTCTTTGGTAAGGTTCCCTTAAGTAATACTAGTACCCAGAGATCAAAAGACTAGGCAAATGTGGTGTAGTCTTTTGTTAATACAATGCCTGGTTAAAATATTTTTTTCTTTTTTCAAAGAAGCAATATGGTTTCAACACACTTAACCTGTGTCCTGAGCAACTACTTATTTTCAGGGAAAAATTAAATTTCCATCTTTCGATTTCATCTTCTGTCATTAGAAAAGTTTACTTAAAAGAAGTTTTCTAATAATAGTTGGCCATAGAATTTTTTTTTGAAGGTTACCCTTTTACAGCCCTCTGTAGGCTGTCTTTCAAACACTGGTATCAGAATATTTCTACAAGGTTCAGTTTAAAGCACCTTTGTTGGGTTTTTTTGGTTTGTTTTTAAAGAATTTAGTTTTAGGTTTAGCTTTAAGTAAAATTTAAAAATAAAATAATTTTCAGGAAACTTAACATCCAATGGTTTGTAAATTAAAGGTGCAAAAAGTTGATTTAAACCATTTGCAGAGTTGAAATCTGTAATACAGTGGTAATAAATTGCAGTATGAGGAAGAAATAAGAACTTGTGTAATGTTGAATATAATATTGCTATAATGTAATAAAGGGTTATGTAGACTTGAACTGACACTACTACTATTTGTGAATCTTGCTTTCAGTTTTTCATTTAGGCACTTTATACAATGGTTTGATGTTATTTTCCCCCCTCTTAATAGAGTAGAAAACTGTTCTAATCATGCATTGTTTTGAGTTAGCTTGTTTTTTAAAAATATCTTTTCAAGTTGTTTTACTTAGTCTTGCCTAGTCACAAAATAAAAAAGCTGTACTCATGATTTGAGGAGTAGGAATATCAGCTGAGCAGTGAGGCATGTTATTGCCAAACTGGGCAGACCTACAGTAGCTGTAGAAATGAGCCAATCAGATTATTTTACTTAGCGGTTCTTATCAACATGCAATATTGCTTGAAAGTTATTCCCTTATCATTCACTCTTTTGTTTGTCTGTATTGTTAGGGTGTTAATTACTAAATGTTGCTCAGAATAATTAAACATGAACATTTGGTGCTGGTTTTTAAAAACCTACAACTATAGCCATTTTTAAAGAGTATGTTTTTCTCCCCTGTTCATTGCCTGGGAGAATGGAATTTTATATGATTACCTTTCTTTGCAGAAATAACAATGTTGAGTTGCTGGTGATTGCGGGCACTCTGTCATTCATTGGTATCTAGTATAGGCTTAGAAATGATTCATCAGGAAATGATTTTGCCAGTCAAGTTGCAAGGAGTACTTCTTTTTCTCTCTTTAAAAAAATATCCTGGAGAAGCAGGAGTGTGTAGAAATTGTTAGGTCAGTTTCGGGTGCTTATATTTAATATTTTTTCTACTGCAGTGGGACATAGCAGTTCTTTTAATCTGCATCCAGATATAACGAACATCGTTTATCTGTCTTAGAGTGGGTGAGACTGGCTTCCTTTTGGGTGATGGGTGGGGATTGTGTAGGCTTGGTAGAATATGTATTCTGTGAAGTTTGCTAATGTTCGTATTAGATTGTATTGGATTTTTTTCCCCTGGAATTGCAAATGGTATTGTTAGATAGGTTATTTCCAACTTAATGAGAAAATATCCAGAGTAAGTGTGTTTAATTCTCCATGGATTCTGTGAAAGCTTAACGGTCAGAAATTGGTGAATTGTAAGGGAGGAGATATTCTCTACCATATTTTTATAATAGCATGTCATTCCTGTTTCCTGTCTAAAGAACACTTAATTAGATAGCAAAACTTCTACAGGTTGACTAAAATGTTTGTAGGTGTGGCCATCCAGTTACAGGAAATACCCTGTTTCAGCTCTGGAATAGACAGTTATCCTCCACCACAGCTACATGTAGGAGGAAGTCCTCTGTTGGCTACTCTTTTTATAAAGGGCGTGGCTTAAACCCTTCACTAACATGCACAGGGTTTCCTTACGAGGTTAATACCACTTAATCTCTCATTCTTTAACAGATGAGAGAAAGTAAATCATGTTTGTGAATCTTTTCTTTGACTTTGTATTTCCTTATTACTGTTAATAAGCTTATGGGCACTTCTGGACTGCAACATGTTGAGAAGTTAGAGACTAAAGAACTAAAACAAAAAGCCCTGACCCCAAAGACCACTTTTATTTGGCTCAGAGTGTTCTTGTCATTTCTGCTAAAGTTTGCAGAAAGTACTATACACTGACCTAGTTTTTCTTTATTGCAGACCATTCCCGAGACTTTTATCCCAATTAAAGGATCTTAGAGGGAGGAAATACTTATGACTTTTGCATTTTTTCCCACAAACTTTAATATTCTTGAGCACTTGAAAATATTTTAAAGAAATTCTAATCGTGAGCTAATATAGTTTATTAGAAATATTCTGCACATATTTGCCTCCATTGTGGTATAAGTTCTGAAAAGTTACATGGACATGATAATAGTATATGATTATTAAAAATGAGATGAAAGAAGTATTGTCAAAGTGACTTAACCTGTTCTGATGACCACAACAGTGTGATTTCTTTAGCAGAGAAAGTTGTTTTTAAAAATAAATAGTACCACTTTTCTAAGAAAATAAGAGCTTCTTTTTGCTTTGTTGTTTTCCTCTTCTATTATATATTAATGGAAAAGCTACAGAAAATTCAGTGCAGGTACTAATGAAGACACTAGTGTAAGTTTAAAGGAACATGTGACTGTAAGAACTCATGAAGTGCTTGGTTTCTTCATATTCCACATGCATGTTTTAGAATAGATTTTAGGGAGTATTTAATTCATTTTCCTTTTGGCATTTTTCTTTATTTTGTTATCAACTTCCCAGGACTTAGATGATACACAAATACAGATCCCAGGGGATGTGTTGTGATGCTGGACTAAAAGGTGGGAATGCGCTGCTGTCCAGAGTGAGCCATGTTCCAGTGTTGAAAATTCAATGCCTCAGTGTTTATTCAGTACCACCTCATGGAGCGTCAGTGTACACGGATTATATGTATAATTGGTTATTTATATAGTTTTGTAGATCTGTAGATAAATGCCCTCATTCGTTTTTATATGTAATTGTGCTTGGAGTATTTTTGTGTTTTATTCTTTGACTTCAACAGGGTCTTGTACGTTATATCTTTGGTGATTTGAAATATCAGGAAAGACATTTTCAGAAATGAGAATAATACAGTTGAAATCAGCTTAGCTGAAATATTCTGTAGCAAGACAATTTCTTTTGGGTGAACTGATTCCATAATTTAGTTACTCTTGATGTAAGGATTCAGTTTATTGTGGAGTTGCTTTCCAGACTGTCACTTTATAGTTTTTCTACATAAAGATTATATAGTTGCAAACAAAGGTTGTGGAATTTCCTTTTTGTTGATGTTTTTTGACTTTTAATTACTTTAATAAAATACGTTGTTTTCATAGCAAACTTTAGACTGTTCATGTAATTTTCTCCATACAGTTTTTCTAACGTAAGCCCAGCAAACCATATCTAGTTTTCAGCAGCGTTATCCCAAGTGAAATAAGTGATGTGTCATATTTATCAGTTATAGCTAAAATGTTACTACATTTTACATGTTTAAACCATAATAAAATATTGTCATGATAGATGATTTTTTTTTTTTTTTTTTTTTGGGGTCACGATAAGTGATGTGTCATATTTATCAGTTATAGCTAAAATGTTACTACATTTTACATGTTTAAACCATAATAAAATATTGTCATGATAGATGATTTTTTTTTTTTTTTTTTTTTTTGCGGTACACGGGCCTCTCACTGCTGTGGCCTCTCCCGTTGCAGGGCACAGGCTCTGGGCACGCAGGCTCAGCGGCCATGGCTCATGGGCCCAGCCGCTCTGCGGCACGTGGAATCTTCCCGGACCTGGGCACGAATCCGTGTCCCCTGCATCGGCAGGCGGACTCTCAACCGCTGCACCACCAGGGAAGCCCTAGATGATTTTTTTGTTAAGGAAATTTTAGTTCCTTATTGGTTCCACTTTTTAAAGAGAGTTTGTTCTGTTTTATGGAGGAAATTTTCAAACATATATGCAAGTAGAATAATAGGATGAGCATTCCTAGTACCCATCGGTCTGCAAATACCAAGTTATTAGTCTCTAAATGTCTCTAAGTGTTTTCTTTTTTAAAACATAACCACAGTATCATTATCACATTAAAAATAATTTATTGGTTCCTTTAAAATCTTTTAAATTGTGCTAAAATACTCATAACAAAATTTACCATCCTAACCATTTTTAGGTGTACAGTTTAGTCGTGTGAAGTATGTTCACATTGTTATGCAACCTGTCTCCAGAACTTTTCATGGTACAGAACTGAAACTGTGTACCTATTAAACATTACTCCCCCATCCCCACACCCGGCAACCACCGTTTTTTACTTTCTGTGAGT